TTTGTAATAATTATCTGAATAAAAAAAAAATTATAAAAAAATCATCTTTAAAAATTGAAAAAAATTTTAGCTTTCATGTTTTTGGATAAAATTTCTATTTTATCTTTTTTTGATATTTTTTTTTTTTTTTTTTTTTAGAAAAAGTACATAAGAAAACAAACAATTAAAAAAAAAAATTAAATATGACAATTTTCTATAAAATTTATAAATTATTTTGAAAATTTGTTAAAATTGTGATAATTAACTTTTTTTTTTTAAATTAATTTTTTTATGTATTTTAAAAAAAAATATATCAATAAAATCAAATAGAAATTTCGTTTAAAAAAATGAAAATAAAAATCGTTGACCCCACTTGTAAATATTTACCAAAAAAAAATACTTAGAAGAATAAAAATTGTTCAAAGTGATTTGAAGAATGTGGGAAAAAAAAGTAACTTGTTAAAAAAAAAAGTAGAGAAAAAAAACCACTAATAGGAGTATTTAGCTGGTTTTTTCAAGGTTCTGGTATTTCTTTGTTGCCTCAGATTGCTGGGCACAATTATTGTCACCGCAGTCTAACCATTAAATTCTTAACTCTGTGAGCATCAGTCCGCATAATTAGCTTCCGTAAAAAATATAATCCATGGGAAAGAGCTTAGATAATCATAATCTCAATTATAAATTCACGTTCACGCTGCTTCTCTAAATAAATAAATAAATAAATAAATAAATAAATACAATAGTGTGAAGATAAATCATTGCCCTGGTGGTAAGGCCGTTGAATGATATTGATTAAATATTACGTGAGTTAATAAGTTAATAAGAATGCAAAATCTTGGGTAACAATACTCGAGATTAGCATAAACAATAATATAAATGACAGCAATATTCTGGACCGTTGAGTCACTTGACTCAAGGCCCGGCCTTGTCTCTCTTATGACAGTTTAAACCTCTTCCGTGTTATACATTCTTAAATGTAAATACAAATAAAGGTGTAGATGTAGCTAAATAAATTATAGCTAAATAATTAATAACAAATAAATTATTGCAAAAAAAAAAATTGACATGTAGAAATTTAAAAAAATTAAAAATGCTATTTTTCAAAAATAATCTTTTGGAACAAATTTATTTGTTAAAAAATAATCAAGTGACTGCTTTAATGATGACACTGAAGTTAGCAGACGTCTAAAAATTTTTGATTTTTTTTATCAATTAAATTACAACTAAAAAGATATTTCTAAAAAATTGCACTTATAGTTTTTCAAGTTTTTTAGATCTGAAATTTTTTTTTAATTGTTTAATTTAAATTTTTCCCTTAATAAGAGCCATTTGACCGGCATTAATTAAATCAATAAATCCAGTAGCCAGAAGACAGTCTAGTCAACTAGCCACATGTTAATAACAATTGGTTAGACTAGGTCGGGATGCTTCGGGTCTCTCTGATTGTCTGCAGGCGTCGGCTGACTATACATGCGAGCCTTTCACTTTTCTTATCTCACGCGCAATAATGTTGTTGGAACTTGGAACTGCTGCCGCCTCCACGAGCACATAGACGTCCTGGTGCTCACGTACAATCACCAGCTAGATATTATATACAACAACTACTTAAGCTCGAGGTATTATCACAGTCTGGCTTTACTGTGCTTCTTGTCTACTTTAAATGTATATATATATTTATATAAGAATCCAGCGAGTGTTTCTTCAGCTTCAGCTTCAGCATCTCACAATAAACCGGCACACCAAAGCGGTTTGCCTTCGGCGCTCTTCATCGACACTCACGTACACACTCATTTAGTGTTCCTTGATATGAAACATTGTAGCGTAGCAAACCCAACGCATTTAATTAAATCCCTTGTATTTGCTTGGTCTATTGCTTGATGTTGATGTTGATGATGGAGATGACGGTCACACGAAAATGCTGTGTGAAACTTGGAACATTTAAGAATTAATATTTTTATTTTTATTTATTTTTATTTAATGATACGTAGTACCAGCAATCCTTGCAGAAATAAAACGTAATATTATGGAAATTGTATTCTTGATGTCCAATGCTACGACTGAAAAATAATTATTTAACCAGATGCTCAAGACTCGAGTGACCTAGCTCCGGGACACGGGAGACTGAGGATCCAGGAGCGAGGTATCCTAGCGTGATGCCGAGGACCTTGACCTGGGATCTAGATTAATCTTAAACATAAATAAATCCCGTTTATCATTCTGTTTTAATTAAATGCCTCTTAATGTATTCATTATTGAGCAACTATATTTCGTGTTTTATGCACCTTAAATTAACCATCTTGTTGTTTGTTTCTTTTATTAATTTTATTAATCACTTGGTTTTACCGAGTTGATAAAATGCGTTGTCAGCGTACGATTGTATTCTGCCTTTTTTTGTCTAGCTCTTTCTAAATTTTATTTAAGAAAATACCCGGGATAAAAAATTTGGTAATTGGAATAAAAAACTTGTTTTTTTTTTTTACTGTTATAAAAAAAAAAATTTTTTTAATGAATTAAAAAATTATACTTTTGTAAATTTTAAAAGAAATAAAATTTTTATGATTATTTACAAGTGAGGTTTTTAATTAAAAATTTTTTGAATTAAATTTCTATTTGATTTTATTGATATATTTTTTTTAAATAGATAAAAAAAATGAACAATTAAAAAAAAAATTTATAAATTTTTTAGAAAATTGTAATATTGAATTTTTTTTAAAATTGTTCGTTTTTTTATGGAATTTAAAAAAAAAATAAAATATAAATTTTATCCAAAAACTTGAGCCAAAAGTTCATTAAGAATGAAATAAAATTTTTGTAAAAATATCTAATAATATTTTATTACAAATTAATTGTAAAAAAAAAATTATTAAAAAAAAATAGCACTTGTAATTTTTTTAAATCTCTAAACGTGGAATTTTTATAATAATTTAGTTATAAAAATAAAAAAAATGATTGTTAATTTCAGTATCATGATTAATTATAAAAAAAATTTTTTTTTAACTAAATGTAAATTTTTAATTATAAAAAACAATATTCTACTAAATAATTACCTTTTTTTTTTTTAGAAAATTAAAAAAAAAATAGTAGAGTATCTTCAATATTAAATATCATTGATATTTAATAGAATTTGATGACTAGTAGATACTTCCGCGGTGAATTGAAGGATGTTGTATCACATCTAAAAGACACACTGCCTCTATATAAGTAACTTGGTTTGCAATATACATATACATTCTTGTTAGGACCGCTCGCAATTCCCATATATACTTGAAGTGCCAATTGAGATAGATACATGTAGTTTGTTGTATCAAAGTCGACCTCGCCTGGATCTCCTCTCTCTTTCAAGTCTCGAAATCTTTTCCGGTTAATTAACTTGCGCTTCCAGACATTAAACTTATTGCTCATCTACAATAAATAATTAAAAAAATATTATTGAAAAAACTTACCTTTTCTAGCCAGTGACACAAACAATAATCAGCAAGCTTCAACTACTAGATTATTATTAAATAACATTATTTAATTTATTGGTAATACACTGGGAATAAAAAATAAATTCCTCGTTGATTAGTTTGACATCGAGAGAATAAAAATGAATTTAATTGACTGGGTTATCGTGCCCGTCAGACTGATTGGGAAACCTGGATAAATTATAATAAATATGATGTAGATAAAAAACGAAATAACAGCGTTTTATTTCGTCAAGCAAGAAAGCAAGAGACCCTTGACTGAAAAATAGTAAATTTATAATATAATAAGATTGTATTGTGGTATATCCGGTATGGTTCGCTGTAGCAAAACGGACGTTTCAGCAGCCTCGTACATGCCGCTGGTACTCAATAGTAAGGTGAGTTAGCGGTGGGAGATACGAAGGTATATAAAACCGGCTGAAGATCGGTTCGAGTCAGTCCAACGACCAGACGCTCTAGTCGCGTGCCCGTGTGTGCGAGAGAGTGAGGAGAGACTCCAGGATCTTAGATCGAGGATCTTACTTGACAAGCGAAAAACATCCGCGAGAAAAATTTCACACAGTAGTCGCGGGTGATTCTGTGCACGATTTTCCAATAGACACTTTTGTTTCATAATCATAACTGGCACAAATGCTGATAGTTCATGTCCACATTACGCTCGCTGATTGCGCGAAAGTTTTTATGTAATATTCAAGTTTTAGCAAATTGCCAATTTTACTTTTCGTTTTTTTTTTTTTTTTTTTAACATCGCTCTGAAAAAAAAAAATAAAATAAATAAAAAATAATTAATTTAAATAAAAAAATTCAATAAAAAATTTTTATAATAAAAATAAATAAAAAATTTTTTAATTAAAAAAAAAAAAATATTTTTGGTGGATAGTCAAAGCACAGAGCACATTTACTGTGTGTGTTTTTAAATTGTCAAGACCGTAAAATAAAACCAAAGTTTAATTCTCGGGAGTGCTGTTATAAAGCCGCGAGAAATAATTGGGATTGTTATTTAAAATTTTAAAAATTACTTTCTGTGGCTTAATTTTTTAAAAAAGGAAATCTAATTATTTGCCCAAGAGGAAACAACCTTTTTAAATAATAATAATATTATTATTATTATTATTGAAGATTCGAGTAAGTTCATTGTACTTTGCCAACAAAATGTCATAGATATGCTATAACTATAATTTAATATACTTACATTCATGTTCTGGCAAGTAGTTTTATTTATTTTGTTATACTATATTGTAATGTACAATATAAAGCAACAGATATTTCAACACTTAATTCAGATATACGTGTGCTGGTACATAACATGCACATGTAAATCTAATAATTACTATTTTTATTATGTGACAGTAATTAAGAAATTAAAAATAATTGTGCAATGGATTGCAATTTTTTGCTTTCATAGGACACGTAATCCTATTGAGAGACTCTTCAACAATTTTATAAATTAATTGCTGGTTAATTTTTCGCTTATTACAATTTAAAACTCTGTTGATAATTTGTAATTATCAAGATTGAGGTGTAAATTAACTGCTGAAGGATAATTAATAATTATTTATGGTTTATGGTTTGTTATTATCAGGATCGATCGGAATGTTGACGACGAGCGAGACGCAGCCGTCGACGCTGGTGGCAACAATGACCGATCCGAACTACAAAAATTGGCACATCCCAAGGCCTTCTTTGGTTATCGGTCGCGTTGGTGATAAAGAAAGTGGCGACGAGTACTCTGTCCATAATTGGGTCCAGCATCATCATTACAACAATCTTAATTCCAATTCTGATAGCAATGCACCTTCAGGTAAAAATTCATCATCTTCACAGAAATCAACAGTCAGCGCACATGTAAGTTTTCTTCTTTTTTAAAATTTGTCTATCTAAAATTAATAATTAGCAACCGTGCTAATAAATACAATTTTGCTTAATTAAATAATGAATTTTGTTGAATTGTACTGTACTTTGTTAACTATTGACGTTTTTAAAGATATAAGCTCATCCTGATGTTACACTCATCAAGAGCTTTCATTTGAGTACCCACATGCATTTTTGATATATTTTTCATATATAATTATATATAATATATATAAATATATAAAATATATGAAAAATTGATGTGAGTACTCAAATGAAAGGTCTTGATGAGTGTAACATCAAGATGAGCTTATATCTTTAAAAATATCATTAGTTGACAAGATAGCAAGGTCAGTTCTTAATTATTGACATTTTTTAAGATATAAGCTCATCCCGATGTTATGCTTATCAAGAGCTTTCATTTGAGTACCCACATACATTTTTATATATTTTTCATATATACATAAATATATGAAAAATTGATGTGGGTACTCAAATGAAAGCTCTCGATGAGTATAACAACATCAGGATGAGCTTATATCTTAAAAATGTCAATAATTCACAAGATATAAAGTCATTTTTTAATTATGTATCTAGAGAGCATTTGTCAAATGCAGCCTAAATACTTATTCAAATTCAAGACAAGACCTTTGCAATGACACTAAATATTACTTAAAAAAACGGATTTTATCTTATTACTATCCTGAAGACAAAATTTTTCTTATTCTTTAAATAATATAGATAATTATTCAATTAATTAATTATAATAAAATTTTTAAAACAGAGCATAGCATCATCAGGAACTTTACTACTCACAGCAGCAAATTTAGCAGCCATACAACCGCCAACACTTGTACCGCAAAAACAAAAATCAGCAGACGCAGTATCAGTAGCAAGTAGCACACATTTTACAGTCGTCAATGGATTAGGCAGATCTGTAGTTATGTACAAAAAATCCTGGTGTGCAAGACATCAACTGACGGTTCTTGTTTGTACGATGAGTTTTCTTTTTATGGTTGGTCTATTAGCCGGAGTACTTTACATGGAGAGTAAGCATCTATTCAATTACACTTCCATATATTAACAATAATAATTATTCATTTATCTCACTGCTATTTATACCATCTTAAATCACCGTTTTATCTTCACAATCATCATCATTAAATCAATCAATCAATAAATTGATTAACGAGACTAATTAAACGACTTTTATTTTTCAGTGCGAGTTCGCGATAAGTACGACTAAATAAATAACTTATTAAAATACCACTGGGAGAGAGAGAGACAGACGTTGTTTAATTAAAATTAAAATTACGGCGACAGGGTACTCGTGGATATGCCAATAATTATGGGATAATTATTCATTTTCTTTAGTGCAGCACTTTCTGGATAAATAATAAAGAAAAATTTAATTATCTCAGCACAGAAGTGTGCTGTTATTCAGCCAATAAATCAAGTGGCCATTAAACTTTGTTTGTGTTTAAATATACACGCACAGCTAATTAAAAAGTTAATTATTAAAATAATAATTTAACTTAATTATTTGAAATTATAAATTGTCGCCTATGAAGCTCTTTGTATCTGTGATACTTATTTATCTTGTAATGCGTTAAAATTTATTTTCTACTTCTAATTTCAATTAAATTGATAAATAAATAATTTATAAATAATAAAATGTATTAATAAAATAACATTGTAGATATTGTAGTACTTACTTCGACCTCCTGAAGCGTCTGTGTCCATCTGTAATTGGGCATGTCGGCTCCGTTTCCACTGTTGGGCTTCAGCTTGCCTTTCTCTACCTCGTCTTCTTCATCATCGTCTTCCTTTGTCTTCACTTCCTTTGGTTTCTTCTCTTCAGCCGGCGCTTCGGTCTGACCGTTCACTGGCGAGGAACTGGTACCAGGAACTGATGCACTGGACTATAATTTTAAAATTAAAATTAAAGTGTTTTAATTTAAAAAAAAAAATTATTTTGTTGATGAAAATTAAGTTAGCGGACATCTAAAAATTTTTATTATTTTTTTTTTGAAAGAATTATTTTTAAAAAATCTATTTGTAAAAAACTTGAAGAATTTTAAGTGCAATTTTTAAAAAATATTTTTTTGCTCCAATTTAATAAATAAAAAATTAAAAACGTCGGCCAAGATGTTATATTTTATTGAGAAATTTAATTTGATGGAATTATAGATACCTCAGGCTTCTTGTTGGTCCACTCTTCTTTCAGCTTATCCGCCATTTCATCAGTTACCTCTTCAATTTTGCAAGGACTATCATCATCCAACATCATCTTCGCGGCTTCTTGTTCTTCTTTGCGCTTCTTTTCTAATTTTTCCTGGCGTTTTCGCTCCTGTTCAGCGCGTTCTGCTTGTTCTTTGTTGTGCTTGGCGATGGCTGTAGCTTGATGCTTTTTGAATTTGCTATTCACCAACTAAAAAATTAAAAAAAAAAATTTGAATTACAATTAATAGACATAAAAAAAGTAATAAATAGTTTTTGATGTTTATTATAAATTAATCTTGAGCATGAAATTATTTAAAAATAAATGAAACTAAAATTAGCAGACACTTGATAATTTTATAATCTTTTTAAAAAAATAAATTATGCCTAAAAAATTGCATTTGTATTTTTTTTAAGCTTCTAAAAATGGAATTTTTTAAATAAATTTTTTTGCTATAAATTATGTTTTTAAAACAATTTTGAAAATATCAATTAAATTAATTATTTATTCAATTACAAATAAATTTATTATTATTATTATTTTATTATAAATTACCTTCTCAGCTGCTCCTTCGCCACCACCAGTGTAAAAGTCCGTTTTACGAGCAAGGAAATTGAAGATAGTGTCCAATAGCTAAAAAAAAAATCAAATTAAAAATTATCAAAAGACAATTTTAAATGATTCATCGATTAACTTCTAGAATGATCTAACTTTTGAGGTTAATCAAGCGACAAAATATCATTTGTCACCGATAAAAAATTAAAAACTTACATCCTGGACTCCTCCTTCATGCTGCTGGGCCATGGCCATCAGCATCCCATCGAATTTTTCCTCCGTTGACATTTTTATATTTATTTATTTACTTTAATTATTATTTATCTCCACGAGTATCAATAACACAAGTCACATTGACCACCGTCTTTGAAATAACAACAGCAAACAATGGTTTAGAGGTTTAGATTTTGATTCTTTTTTACCATGGCAACCAACTACGCCAGAAGCGCCATCACCTAAAAAATTTTCAATAATTAATTTTTTCTATTAATAAAAAATAATTATTGACAATTGTTTATTAATTTATTTGTTACTTTAATGTGCAGTGTTGTTATTGTTGTTGTAAATAGTTGTTATTGTTTTTTTAAGAAACTGAAGTTAACTGACATAAGAAATTTTATTATTAAAACTTAATTAAAAAATTCCACATGTAAAATTATTTATTTATAAATAAATAAATCAATAAAATTTAAAAATTAAAAGAAATTATTAGTGGAGAAATTTTTTAAAGAATTTTTTTTATTATAATTGATTTTTTATAAATATTTAAAAAATTGACAGCTGTCAGCTAACTTCAGTATCATTTTTTAAATTCATTAATTCGAAGATACCTTCAAACGGTATGACAGTTATCATGCGGTATATTTTTTTTTTTATAACCGAAATTCAGAATTGTATACGTTGTATATATACATTTTTAGTACGTGTATATTTAGTTATAATTGTAAAAATACATATGTGAAAATTTTTAAATGTGTGCTCAAAATAAAAATATTATCCACAAATAAAATTCACTTTAGTTGTAATTCATAGTAATTAAAAAAACAATTAAAAAAAAAAAAAAAAAATAAATGAATGAAAAACATGGAGAAATGGATCAATTAGTTATTCTAGTAGCGGCAGTTCATTTATTATACTGTCCATTTACCAAAGTTGAAGAAAGTTTTAATTTACAAGCTATCCACGATATTCTTTATCATGGGCATAACCTCGACGAGGTCTTGATACATTTTTTTATTTTATAAATTACCTAAAAAAAAATTATTTCATAACAATAAAAATGATATTTTGATTTTTTAGTATGACCATCATGAATTTCCTGGAGTGGTACCAAGAACCTTTTTTGGATCCCTGGTGGTATCTGGACTGTCATACCCCATAGTCGCTATTATTAAATACTTTGGGTTGACTAAATTTTGTGCTCAGTATGCAGGTATCCACTTTCTCCAATTCCGGTTTATATTTACATTTAATTGTCACTATAAATAAGCACCTTTCATTTCATTTCATTATTATTTTCAGTGAGAGCAATTTTAGGATTACTTGTAATCTATACGCTGAGATTGTACAGACAAACATTGCAGAAAATATTTGGGATTGAGTTGACTAATTGGTTTGTCGCTATTATGGTCACGCAGTATCATTTTATGTATTACCTCAGCAGACCTTTGCCAAATATTATGGCAATGCCTTTAGGTAAATTTTAAAATACTGAAATTAAAATCTTTTAATTTTTATGATGACATTAAATTTAGCTGTCACATGACATTTTTTTAATTTTCTTTAACAAAAAAATTATTTTTAAAAAATTGCATTTTTATTTTTATTAAATTTCTACAAGTCCATTTTTTTAATAATTTTTTTTTGCCATAATTTATTTATTAAAAAAAATTTTTTAAATTGTCAAGTGACAGCTAAATTTAATGTTATACTTTTATGACAATTTCAATATTAAAAAATTTTAATAAAAAAATTCCAAATTTAGAACAAAAATTGCCAGATATTAATTTCAGGATATACTTTAAAAAAAAATTAATTAATAGCTAAAATTTCTTACAGTTTTATTAGCACTGCGTGGTTGGCTAAATCAGAACCATATTTTATTTATATGGTCATCAGCTCTGGCAATAGTTGTATTCAGAGCAGAGTTAGCACTACTCTTGGGTTTATTTTTATTATACGACATAGCTTATAAAAAATTAACAATACCAAGGTAGGAAATAAATAAATAGAGCTAATAATTTGAATTGTATTGTAGATATTATGACTAGTCTATTTTCAGAGTACTTAAAATAGGTATCCCAGCTGGTGTATGTACTCTAGCACTAACTGTGGTAATAGACTCTTTTTTTTGGAAGCGAGTACTCTGGCCAGAAGGTGAAGTACTCTATTTCAATACAGTACTGAATAAAAGTAGCCAGTGGGGTGTATCCTTTGCAAACATTCATAACATTAAAGTTAGCTGTCACAAGACAATTTTTTAATTTTTTAATTTTTTTTTTAAACAATTAATTTTCATAAGTATTTTTTTAATCTGACAAAAGTTTATCTTATTTGTTGGAAGAAAATTTTATTTATCCTTAATTTTAATACAAATATTAATTTGTAAATAGACGTCTCCATTCCTGTGGTACTTTTACTCAGCTCTGCCCCGAGGTATGGGACTGTCATACGTGCTGGTACCTCTAGGAATGCTGTGGGATGCCAGAGTAAGAGCACTCACTGTTCCAGCAATTACATTTGTTATATTGTACTCCTTTTTGCCTCATAAAGAATTAAGGTTCATCATTTATGTTTTTCCGCTACTGAACGTCGCGACTGCTTCCGCGTGCCAAAGGATGTAAGTATTTTTTTAAATATTTTTCTACGTAAATTTTTAATTAGCAGACACTTGAAAATTTTTTCTAAAAAAAAAAGACACTAAAAAATTATTTTAAAAAAATTGCATTTGGAGTTTCTTAAATTTTCTAAAGATGGAATTTTTAAAATAAATTTATTAAAAAAATTATCAGATGTCTCTCAATTTCACAATCATATTTAAAATTTTTAATTTATTTATTTTCAGCTGGAATAATAGAAAAAAGACGACGTGGAATTATTTATTAGCTCTAGCAGTTCTCAGTCATTTTATATTTAACGCAGCATTTACAATGTTTCTTTTATGTGTATCCAGTTCAAATTATCCTGGAGGACGAGCTATTACCAGATTACACCAATTAGAAAAAGACAATCCGTATGTTTATGTCCATATAGATACTTTAACCGCGCAAACTGGAGTCTCAAGATTCTTACAAATGAATCCAGACTGGAGGTAATATTAATTTCAAACTTTATTATTATTATTAAATATCTGTAATTTTTATGTGATAATTATGATTTTAAAATTTAATAAAAGTTATAAGTAAGTATTTATTTTTTAAATCAGGTATTCCAAGCAAGAAAATTTGACGTACGATGATCCCGATGTAGGTCAATTTACGCATTTATTTATAGAAGCTAAAAGTAAAAATTTATTTTTGAGCAAACAACCGAATTATAAAATAATCGACTCGATTGACGGGTTCTCCCGGATTACTTTAAATTATAAAATGATACCGCCCATACGAATCGAAATGAAGCCCATGATTTTCATAATGAAAAAACCCGGTATTGATAACTTGGTCAAACGATCTTCGAACAATCAAAATTTAGAGTCAGGAATTGAGAACGAAGATGATGAGGAAGAAGAAATTGATGATAAAATAAGTGACAATTTTAATACTGTAAATTTTGATATCGAGGCAAGCACTGAGAAAGATTTTAGTAATAATAATAATGATGATGTCTTGGAAATTCCTAAAATAAATGGAGCAGAAATTAATATAGATAAAAGTAGCGAAAAAATAAAAACATATCAGTCTGTAAAAGAAGAAATAAAGCAGATAGTAGAAATTATTCATGAAAGACGAAATAATGTAGATTTAATTGTGAAAAAAAATAATTTTTATTCTCAAGTACCTGAAGAATCAGTAGTAGAAGATAATATTGTTATTAATAATTATAATAATAATAATAATAATAATAATAATAATAATAGTGATGGAAAAGATAGAGAAGAAAAAAAGCCAATAGTGATAAATAAAAAAATGCCAAAAAGAAATTTTAAAGATGAATTGGAGACTGAAGTTATAAAAAATGATAAAAAAATAGTTATTAAAAATAAATCCAATGGAATAATAACTCCGAAAAAACAAATCTCGGCTATAAAAGCTGAAATGAGTGAACAAGAAAAAAATAGAGTGAAAAAAATAGCCGAGCCTAAAGTGGCTAACGTTAAGGAGAGTATACGTAATATTATCCAACAGTTCAAGGAATTCGAAAAAGACCTATCAGCTTCGGCGGCCGGCAATTTAAATAATAAAATAAATAATTGGTCGCGTAAAAAGAAAATGGGTAAGATTAATGAGGAGAAGGTTGAGAATACTCAGTCATCCTTAGGATTGCCGGATGAGTTTGAGGAGAATTATGATGAGGCAGCAGTCTTAGATAATGCCAAAGGATATCTTCGAGATGTTATTGACCAGTTTTACCAGCTGAAAGATGAGCTGTCTTTCAAAGAGAATTATCAGTTTAAAGATATCGCTGATAAATTTGACGAACGACCAATTACTGACACTCTGATATTGTTCAGCGAAGCACTGAAAGATTTAGTCCAGGAGAAGAAGGGTAATAAACTAAAAGATATTACGTCTGAAGATAACGATATGATCAATCAAATTGATGATCTACCTAAAATTGATTATAACGTCCCCGAAGTTATCGAGGATGATAATAATTCAAATGAAAAAAAAAGCAAAAAGCCAGACCGCCGGAGTCGTGAAAAAAAATAATTTTTTATTTTATCTTCACTTGGTTGAATTTTTTTAAATAAAATAAAATTATTTATTAAAAAATTTTTCATCGACGTTCTAATTAGCAAATTTTTTAACTCTATTTTAGAGAATCTTTCATTTGTACAAAAAAATAATTAGTTCAAAATTTATTATCACTTTAAAAAACTATTTAATAGTTTTTGGTGATAAGTATTTAGGCTGCATTTGAAAATGCTCTATCTCTAGATACATAATTAAGAAATTACCTTGTATCTTGTCAACTATTGACATTTTTAAAGATATAAGCTCATCCCGATGTTGCACTCATCGAGACCTTTCATTTGAGTACCCACATGCATTTTGATATATTTTTCATATATACATATATATAATAGGTATATATTTTAAAGAATGAAAAATATATCAAAAATGCATGTGGGTACTCAAATGAAAGGTCTTGATGAGTGTAACATCATGATGAGCTTATATCTTTAAAAATGTCAATAGTTAAAAAAGTGAAGTGCAATTATCAAAAGTCATTATTTAATAAAGCAAAATTTTATTTATTTATAATTTCACAAGTGACTGAACGGTTGCTAGTTAATATCTAATAGAGGTATAATATTTTGGTTTGGATCATTCGAATAATTTATAATTTCATTATTGCTGCATCAAAATGTTAAAAAATCATCCTCTAAAAAATAAGGAGTTAGACCAATTGCTAATTAGACCGTCGAAATTGTTTACACGCGGTTATTTATCAATTACGTATTTTTAATAAAAATATTTTGCTCGCAAGTGCCTTAATTACGACATACGATTGTTTTATCGTAAGCGCTTGACATTCGATTTAAAAAAAAAAAAAAAAAAAGAATAAATAGAGACTATTAACACTAATACATTTATAAAAAAAAAAACTCCGCGGAGTAAATTCTTTATTTCTTTTATTACATAAAAATGAAAAAAATATTTATTCGTTTTAAAAATTACATAATGGTATTTAGAGATTTTTTAAATTAATATAATTTTTTTCCTTAGTTTAATATAAATACAAATGAAATTTGTTATTAATATATTATTTCGCCTGAATATATTTATAAAAAAAAATGTTGAGTAATTTTTTATTGTTCATTATATTTAATAAATAAGTTAATTGAACTTGAATGGATTCTGTGTAATTTTTTTCAACATTTATCTTGCAAGATCGATTGTTGCACAGTTAAGTTATTATATTCAGATACTCGTTTTTTACAAAAGTAATAGCAATGAGATAAATGTTTAATGTTTAATGTCAGCGACCTGAAAGAAAGGAAAGGTCAATGGGGCTGGCTGAGATAACTACAAGCTATAAAAATTTATGCGAATAGGTAATAACTAATAACTATAATCATAATTATTCCTATATTCACTCTCTCGCTTCCTAATTCTCTCACTTCCCGCTCCACACGTTTTTGGATAAGATTACATATTGTTATTTTCGTTGGTTTGCTGCCGCATGAATGACGAAACTCACAAAAGCCTATTGCAGTGTTTACTTTATTTATGACAGCGGCAGTCCGTTATTTTACTCGAAAAATATAAGCGATAAATTTCAAAATATTTACTTGTTTTTTTTTTTTTGCAATAAACAAACAATGAAAATCGGATTTTTTGGTGGTGGAAAAATGGCCCACGCTTTGGCGAAAGGATTTATCAAAGCCGGTATTTAAAATTTTTTTTTTTTTACTACACGTTATATTTTTCTATTCTCATATTCTATTGATTTTTTTCTACGCCAGGTCTAAAGGGAGACTCTATGGTAGCCAGCTGCTTACCAAACGATTTAAAAAGCAAGCATGCATTTGAGGTAATATGATATTTTAAAATAAAAAGAAATATTTTTTATCTTCTGGGATTTTTTTCAGACTATCGGATCTAAAGTTGTTTTTTTAAACAAACTAGTTGCAGATCATGGAGATGTTTTAATTATTTCTGTTAAACCACAAGTTGTTAGTAAAATACTTCCGGAAATTAAAAATTCTGATAAATTGATTCTTTCTATTGCTGCTGGGACTTCTATTGATGATTTAGAAAAAGTAAAAAATACTGGGTGTGGTGCATGCCTACACAGAATTTGTCTACATTTTGAAAACTCACAAAATTTATTTCTATACGAGTCAAGCGAATACGTTTCTTTTCACATAGAAAAATATCTATACAAGATTAATTCTACACCGCGGTATCTCTACATACATAAAAATATCTATGCACAAGAATATCTCTCAGATTTGAAATCTCTACACAGTTTATCTCTACACAACCCTAACTTCAAATCGTAAGCGCTTGACATTCGATTTAAAAAAAAAAAAAAAAAAAAAAAAAAAAAAAGAATAAATAGAGACTATTAACACTAATACATTTATAAAAAAAAAAAACTCCGCGGAGTAAATTCTTTATTTCTTTTATTACATAAAAATGAAAAAAATATTTATTCGTTTTAAAAATTACAAAATGGTATTTAGAGATTTTTTAAATTAATATAATTTTTTTCCTTAGTTTAATATAACAAATAAATTTTAATATTTAAGAAAAATTGCATCAATATTTTTTTTTAATTTTTACAAGTAGCATTTTTTAATAAATGCTTTCTATAAATAATTTATCTCTGTATTATTAGATCCTAAAAACTGCCACATGTTAATTATAATTTTAGTGACATTAAAGTAATTAACACTGATAAATTTTTTATAAATGTATTAGTGTTAATAGTCTCTATTTATTCTTTTTTTTTTTTAAATCGAATGTCAAGCGCTTACGATTTGAAGTTAGGGTTGTGTAGAGATAAACTGTGTAGAGAATTAAAATCTGAGAGATATTCTTGTGCATAGATATTTTTATGTATGTAGAGATGCCGCGGTGTAGAATTAATCTTGTATAGAGATTTTTCTATGTAAAAAGAAACGTATTGGCTTGACTCGTATAGAAATAAATTTTGTGAGTTTTCAAAATATAAACAAATTCTGTGTAGGCATCATGCACCACACCCAAAATACTGACAATATATTATTAATTATTATTAATTTCTGATCTTAATAATTTAATTGAAATTGAAATTGGCAGACACTAGACAATTTTTTCATTTTTTTTTTTTTTAATAAATTATTTATGAAAAATTGCATTTATAATTTTTGAGAGCTTCTAAAGATGGAATTTTTTAAATAAATTTTTCTTGTTAAAATTTATGAGTTAAATAATTTATAAAAAGTATTAGATGTCTCTCAATTTAGTATCATATAATTTATTAAAAATTAAATTATCTGACATTTGAAAATTTTTATAATTTATTTTATTTAAAAAATGATTAAAAATAATTTTAATAGTTGAAGATTTGAAAAATTCTCTATGTAATTTTTTTAAAAGTATTTTTTTACTTGTAATTTAATTGATGAAAAACAATCAAAAATTGTCGAACGTTAGCTAATTTTAGTATTATATTTTGATAAATTCATTTACTCTAAAAAAAATTCAGAATTTACCAAAAGGAACACCAGTAATAAGATTGATGCCCAATATCCCGGTATCAATTGGCTATGGCGCGACAGTATTCAAAAGAGGAACATTTGCTGATCAAGAACATGCAGTTTTAGTTAAAAAATTATTTACCTCTATGGGAATTTGCGAAGAAATTGACGAAGATGAAAGTCTGCTGGACACAGTGACAGCTCTCGCAGGATCAGGACCGGCTTATGTAAATTCTAAACTTTAATCTAAAATATTTTATATCAATCAGTAGATAATGATTAATAATTAATTTGACATCAGAAAATTTTAATAATTTTTTATATTAAAAAACAAATTTTATTTATAATACTAAAGTTAACCGACGCTTTTAATTTTTTGAGTTTTTTTTTAATTATTAAATTGAAACTAATTAATATTTTTTAAAAATTGTACTTATAGTTTTTAAAGTTTTTTAAAAATGAATTTTTTTAATAAAAAAAAATTCTAAAAATTTTTAAATGTCAGCTAACTTAATTTTCATCTTTAATTTCACAATTAATGATTTATAATTAACATAGGTTTACATGATGATCGAATCACTAGCAGACGGTGCTGTTAAAATGGGAATGTCCCGACAATTGGCTTACAAATTAGCAACTCAGACAGTCCTAGGAGCCGGAGCGATGGTAAATCATCACCAGAGTATTGGAGATGGCTGTCATCCAGCTCAACTAAAAGACGATGTTGCTTCTCCAGCCGGTTCCACGATAATGGCGATTCATCACTTGGAAAAATACGGTATGCGGTCAGCTGTCATCGGAGCTATCGAAGTTGCGACTTTAGCCTGCAGGACATTCTCCAAAAAACAATAATAGTCATAATTAACTATCACAATTTCGAGGAATAAAATTTTTCGCGGGATTTCGTCTGTTACGCAACCAAACTGTTATTTGTACTGCTGCCTATCGGCCATTTTTGCTAACTAGCTCACTACTTTATTACACGTGATATTATTTTATAAATAATAATTTGATAAATAAAAAACATTATTTATTGTTTACTAGTGAGATATGATCTAAAAACTAATAAAAGATTTTCACAATCATTCGGTTTAATTTATTTCATTTATTTAGTATGTGATAATAATGTATTATTGTTGTTTATAAAAATTTTTTGAAGGTTATTTTTAGTTCTTTTGTAAATTTGTAATCGTACTTAGTAATAATGTCTTTTTTAAGTGCTCTTGCTAAACAATCTAGGTAATAATTAAAACATTTCTTTTTTTTTTTTTTTTTTTTATGAAATTATTTAAGTTTGATTTATTGGACTAATTGTTTACTTTTTATTTAGAGTATTATTGAATCCTGTACTGAGGCAATGTCCTCAAAGGAATATTTTTACTGATATTCCAGTTTACTTTAAATTAACAGACAGTTTGTTGTAAGTATTGATTTTTAATTAATTCTAATGACATTTATAATTATCTCAATATTTCTTCTTTTTAATAAATAATTTTAATTTTAATTTAATGTCAGCTGTTTTTACTGTCATTAATATAAAATTATAAATAAAAAAGATTCTTTTTAAAAATATAAATTAATAAATATTTTAAAATTTTACAGTGGTGAACCATTGAAGAGGAAGAAAAGATTGGATCCATCTGTCATAAGACACAGAGAGGAACGTAAACGTCGAAAATTAGAAAAACATATTCGGCGATTAGAAAAGCATTCTAGAAAGCTAAAACCGATTTCTGAATGTCAAGTCCCCTTTAAATTAATTGATGAATTAAAGTAAGTTGAATAATTATTAATTATGACACTAAATTTAACAGTTAGTTGAAAATTTTTTAATTTTGTTCACCAAAAAAATTAATGAAAATTAAATTAGACATCTAAAAATTTTTATCATTTTTTTTTTTTTTTTCATTGAAAAAATGATTAAAAAAAAAATTTCATTCGTAAAAAATTTAAAAAACTATAAGTGCAATTTTAAAAAAATACTTTTTTAGTTCTAATTTAATAAATGAAAAAAAAAAAAAAAAATCAAAAAATTAAACACGCTGGCTATCTTCACAGTATTATTAAAAATTAAATTAGCCGACATCTGAAAATTTTTATAATTTATTTTATTAAAAATCTTTATTGAAAAAGAATTGAAAGAAAAAATTCCACATGTAGAAAATATTAAAAATTAACCGTGGAATTTTTTAAAAATATTTTTATAGCAATTAAATTATTATAAAAAAAATTCTACAAGTCAAAATTATTTGTAGAAATTTTTTACACCATTTTTTATTGTAAGAATAACAAAAAAAGACATTAAATTATTTCAATTAATTTGGATTAAATAAAATAAAATTAACTACTTACTTCAGACAAAGAACTCGTCCGAAGCCAGAACTGACACCCGAAGTAATCGAAGAACGAACTCTGTTACTAAAAGACTGGTCAAGATACAAAATCCGTCAACATGTGGAAGACGTGATGACAATAGAGTCCATGATCGCATCCCAGCACAGAGCTCTCGAGGAGCTTAAAGCTGAGTCGAAAGATCTTTACGATGCAGCAATAGAATTAGACATGTCTTTGCTGTCGTTAGAAGTAACAGGACCTACACGCACTCCGCTGATTCCAAACTACGATGTGCCAGATGGAGATTACTTTGATATATCCAAAAAATGGGAAGGCGAATAAAATAATTATTTATGTTTATGGATTAATAAAAATAATCAATTTGAGGGTCTTTGATGTCAAATTATGTATCATTTAGTAAAATAATGTCAAGGCTAATAAAAAATATGAATGAGTGCTATTTTAAGAATTAAAACTATTTTATTTTGTTTTAAAGTATGTAATATAAATATTGATGAAAATTAATTTAGCAGATTTTTATAATTTTTTTAACAAATAAATTATGGCAAAAAAAATAAAAAATCCATTTTTTTAAAAATAATTTTTTGAAACAAATTTGTTTGTTAAAAAAAAAAATTAAAAAATGGTTCAAGTGACTGCTAACTTTAATATCATTAAATATTGTCTGGATCTTCTAAGAAGAGAATTATGTCATAAGAGTAAATATTTTCAAATTCCGAGCTATTGATAGTACTGATAAATTATTTGCAGATAAATCAAAGTGCTTAGCAATTATCAAGTAATTTTTTCACGCATATTTTGATCTCTTTATCGAGGATAATCCCATTATCTTTTCAGACGTTTAATTAAAAAATAATTTATTAAAATAGTAAGTGTATTAAAGATCAGACTTACGACTGGGACACTCACTCTCATTACCATAATAATGAATAAAGTAATTCATGTGTAAAAATTACATGAAGCTGTTTAAATTTTCTAACTAGACAGCAGACAAAAAAAATCTGGCAAGCGTCAAATTTTCTTGGGCACTAAATTAATGTTGATGTGAGCTGAAGGTACTAAGAGTATAAAAACCCATGGGAGAAGAAATATTTTCATCACTTGCTAGCTCACCGTCCTCCGGTCCAGATTACTTGTTACTTAAATTAAAAATTTTTCGTTCTATTTTTATAAAATGATGTTGAAGCGAACATTATGCTTTATCTCCTTTAAATTATTTATTATTTTATTATCTACGTAAGTATAATTTATTTACCATCAATTATTTATCTGTACTCATTTAAAATAAAATTATTTATTTTATTACAGATTTCTTCTTTCGTCTGCTTCTATAATTCGTGTGCGTGAATCTGAAAGACGCATCGAGTGTCCACGTGGCTGTGCTGGGGAATGTGATAAGTGCGAATACGGAGTGGTATTATCTCAGCAATGTGGAGTATTGGAGTGCAGAAAGGTATTTTTGATAATTATTTACAAGTGGGGTTTGACATTTTAATTTTCATTTTTTTCAACAAAATTTTCTTTTTTAATTTTGATATATTTTTTTTTTTTTAATACATAAAAAAGTAAAAAATTTAAAAAAAAAAGTTGAGAATCACAATTTTTTTTTAAATTTCTAAAAATTTTTTTTAGAAAATTTTTTAAAAAATGAATAATTAAAAAAATGAAATTGAATGTCACAATTTTTTAAAAAATGTTCAAAAAAATTATAAATTTTTAAATAAATTGTTATTTTTAAAAATTTTTATTACTTAAAAAAAGAAAAACAAAAAAAAAAAATAAAATAGAAATTTTATCTAAAAAAATAAGTCAAAATTTTTTGAAAAAAAAAAATTAAAAAATGTCAATTTTTCATCTACACTATGGAGGGTAGAGGTAAGGAGGACCTCTACTCTCCATAATCTATAGATTTAGCAAAAACTACATCTTTTTAAATAATTTTTTGTAAATAAATAAATTTAGTAAAGAAGAAATTAAAATTAATAAAAAATAAATTACAGGGACCGGATGAGCGATGCGGTGGTCATACTAACGGAGTCTGTGGTGATGGAATGATTTGTTTGTGTGAAAGATGTATCGGATGCAGTACAGATACCCTAGATTGTTCAAAAACCCACTTCGACCACCCTTGTCTACCTCCCGGCATCACTGACACCAACAACGACCTGAAGTACCTGGACTTGAACAACAACCGCATGTTTTATGGTTAAATAAATTTATTGGACATCATTACACACCGCTCGCAGTATTTGACTAGCTCAGATCTTTTTATTCTATCTTTAAATAAATAGTTGTCGACATTTATCAATGTACATTGTACGTAAATATACTTGCTCTTTAAATTATTCTCTTTGATTCATTTTTCACCTTTTTAATTATTTCTAAAGTGTTAACTAAGTTTCTAAGTGTAAGAAATATAATTTATTTTGGTAAATATTTACAAGTGGGCTCAACCATTTTAATTTTCATTTTCATTTTTTTTAACGAAATTTCTGTTTGATTTTATTGATATATTTTTTTTTTGAAAAATATATTAAAGTTAGCAGTCACTTGATAATTTTTTAATTTAAAAAAATTTTAAAAATTAATTAAAAAAATGAACAAAAAAAAAATTATTGCCCAAAATAAATTTGACCCCACTTGTAAATAGGATTACCTTAATTTGTTTAAATTAAGACAAGTTATTTTTAACTTCATCATCTTCATGGTGGTGATTGCCATTAGTATGAAGCAGAGACTCTTTCGTTGGAATATTTTGCACTAGTGTAATAGGAATAGAGCTTCCATTGCCGAAGACAACGTTCAATAAATTGTTTTCTAGAAGTTTGATGCTAACCGGCGAAGCCAAAGGCACGTTGGTAGGAATTGGACGACCAAGTGGATTAAGAAGAGATTGATCAAAAATAGATGACAAGTTTCCTAGGTCGCATTTCAGAACCTGGTCATTTTTTTTACCATTTAATAACTTGAATGGTTTATTATTCTGATGTTCCTCCAGTTCTTGGGTAATTTTATTAACTCCATTGCATTTTATTTCTTCTTTAATAATTTCAACTTGATTATCTTCCTCTGGCTCATTGATTTCTTCAGTAATAATTACCCCCTCATTGCTTAAAGAATCATTATCCAAACTCGTTGGTGAAGAAGCAATATTATTATTATTATTATTATTATTATTATTATTATTAATATTATTAATATTAGCACCTAAATCATTATCAACGTAATTGTAATTGTAAATTCCTGGCATGTGTGACTGAGTGAGTGGGTTCAACCCAAAATCAAAAAGTGGAAAGCCGATTGTTGGTGGAACGATTGGAGTGGTATTACTTAAAATAATTACACTACTGCTTGCAGTAAATTTACCAGTATCAGTATTACCATGATTAATATGATTATTAATTTGTTGATCATCATGACAATCAGTAACTGTCTTATGCCCATCCTGGGTCCAGTTTTTAAGAACCTGATTGTCGTCGGAAGAGTCATCATTTTCATCCTGGTCATGATCTTCCTTTGGATCTTCGCTGGTATTCTTCCCAGCGTACCGAGGATAACGGCGGTAAAATGTGCTATTCATCAGCGAGTCGAAACCATCAGCGGGTAGAACGATACAGTCGTGGAATTCTCCAGTGTGCTGCAATCCGTAGTCTTGCTCATTATTAGGAATATCCAGGGGCGAAGTTTCTGTAGACATTGTCGTGGTTTTTTGCATTGCGTTTTCTCGGTGGAGTCGCTTTCGAAGATCACGCGACTGGAGAGAATTCTCCTGGGTTTCTTCTTCGATTTTATCCTGGGACTCTGATAGACTTTCTGCTGCGTCGATCTCGACAATTACTAAGGGTTGTCTGACGTCTTCATCATCAATCTACAAAATAAAAGTAATTTTTATTTATAACCATTAAAAAAATTATAATAATTTATATATTATGAAGAGCCTTTTCAAGGTTATATATTATTCTCACCGATAGTTAATTTATTATGATAAGTATTCGAAAATACTTTATCTCTAGATACATAATTAAGAAATGACCTTATATCTTGTAAACTATTGACATTTTTAAAGATCTAAGCTCATCCCGATGTTACACTCATCGAGACCTTTCATTTGAGTACCCACATCAATTTTTCATATATTTTATATATTTATATATATATATATATATGTATATATGAAAAATATATAAAAATGCATGTGGGTACTCAAATGAAAGCTTTTGACGAGTGTACTATCGGAATGAGCTTATATCTTCAAAAACATCAATAGTTAAGAAAGTGCAGTGCAATTTAACAAAATTCATTATTTAATCAAGCAAGATTGCTAATTAAAATTAATAAAATAATAATAATAATAAAAAAATTCTAAAAAATTATTCATTTTGTATACTTAACATTGTTGTATCTTCAGCCAGCAAAATACTACTGATTAAATTATCTTCTTTAATTTTTTCCAACTGACGACGCCGGCGACGTGCAAGAAATCCTCGAATAGCTTTAAAAAAACACCCTCGATCAATATTTAACTCAACAAAATAAAAAAATTAGAATAATTACCAGCTTGGATAACAATCAGCGCTCTATTAAGTTTCGCCATATCATTTTCCCCATCAGGCTCTTGTTTGTCTTCTTTATCAGAATATTCTTCAAGAACCTCATCAACCTTCTCAGTTTCATTAAACCCCCCAGAAACTTTCTCCACCTCCAAAGAAATTTCCTCGCCATCTTTATCACTCTTATCAGTTTCTACCACCTGCAGTGAGCAAACATCCTCAATCTTCTCACTAGAATTATCAACAGTCGCAGTAGTAAAAACATCTGCACTCTCAATCAGAGTATTAGAAATTTCATTATCTTCAGGCTGCTCGGACTCGTCATCAGTCGGAGTAAGCTTGAACGAAGACACCGTAATATCTTGAAGAGAATCAAGGTTCAATTCAGGCACAAATGGTCTTACCGGTTCGTCCAGCGACAGGCTTTGAATCAGAGGCTCCGTGGTGCAATTATCTGTAACAGTAGTCTCTTTAGCTTCATTCGAAGAGGACTCAGCCAAGTCAGCAGTAATCGATTCACCTACATCACCTCCATCACCGCTACTTTGTTCAGTCTCTCCTCTCCCATCCAAACTCTTCGGTGACCCTAGGTCAGTTTCAACACTCGTTTCTTTAACAGAAGAAGTCATTTCTTCTTTCTGATAATCAATAACTTTCAATTCATGATCGCTCTCAATTTCAACTTGATTTTCCTGTTCACCAGTTTCCGTTCGACTGCTAGGAGAATCTTCACCTCCTTCCTCTTCATTTATACACTGCAAATCTTGTTTAATAACACGAACCTTATTCTTCATCATCAAATCATCTGGATCTACCAAATCGTTGATAGAAATGGCAGATTCTATCGGTTGTGCTACAATTACTTCTCCAAAAGAATCTAAAAGTGGATCAGATTGAATTTCTTGATCATTATTTGATCTAACTTGGTCTGAAATTATAACTGTAGTTATATTACTTGGAATTTTAGATTTATCATTATCTTCAGTTAAAATATAACAAGTTTCTTCTTTAATTTCTTTTTTTTTAGCTTCAGCTTCATTTTTAGCTTTAGTTTCATTTTTAGCTTCATCTTTAGCTTCATTTTTAGCTTCAGTATCATCTCCCTTCATTTGTTCTTCAATATCACAGCTATTATCAACAACAGCAGGTATCAAAACAGGAAGCGTCAAATCTTGCTTAACTTTCTCAACTTTAAAAATCTGATCATCATTAGCAACAGAAGAACTGCTGCTACTAGTAGTAACAACTGGTGGAAGAGCAAAGCTACCAAACAAGCTCTTATTATCACAAACCTTAACAGCATCTTTAACCGCAGTATTCTGAACCGAAGGAAGATGATCTTCTTGCTTGAATTTCCTCAGATTATTTTCTTTCAACAAACTGCTTGAAATACCTTGCAGAAGATTATGAGTTTCATGAAGCATCGCTTCCAATTCATCAGTAGCTTCATGATACTTCCGACGACGAGCTACTCCAGCTACAAAATCAGCAGAATGCGGCCGATTTTTATTGCTCCTCATTGAAAAACACGATGAAATATCCTTTAGAATATTGTGCGTTTCATTCAACCTGGCCTCCAGAGCATTAGAATTAATATTTAAATTATTCTCAGGTAAATCTTGAGTCTGGCTGTGAGTAGACTGACGAGAAAGTGATTTAGTTTCCCTGAAAACTTTTAATTTCTCATTTATTATTGGTTCAGTTGCGGTGATGACATCCTGGACTTTGGAGACGTAATAATTAGGAGGCTCATCAAAGCTTGAAGAATGTGAAAATTTATTGACTACATAATCTTTAACTTTGTTCATACTCAAGTTGGTCATTGAAGTGGTCACTGCTTTGTTGCTCCTCATAGACTCGCTTCTTTCACGGCTGCTGATTCTGTTTTTCTTCAGCTTGGTCTTGATGTCCTTGGCGAGCATCTCGTCGTTGCTGATCACGCTAGGAGACTGGCTCTTTATATCCCGGGATTTTCTGCGCTGGTGGTGGTGATGATGATGATGGTGCTCGGTTATCACCACGGGAAAGTCGCGGGTTCTTTCATACTGTGAATAATAATTAGGCTTAGACCGCTTTGATGTTTTTTGCTGATGATAATGATGGCACTGCTGCCACTCGCTGGGAGATTCACGGGTTACTTGATGGCAGCTTGATGAGACAGATGAAGATGACGAGTCGTATATAATAGGCTGTGAGTGGTGTCTATTGATCTTCGGGTAGTTCTGGTCACGCAGTTGAAGCAAATTTGAAAAATGCTGGGCAGCAAACACGTAAATATCCGGAGGATGGTGCCGAATCACTTCTCGGGTTAAATTTTCAACAGCTGCTGCTAATCCGTCAGGAATTTTTGGAGTTATCACGTAATTTCCGCGGCTTCCACCGATTTTTGCGTTTATAAATATGTTTTCACTCAACGTAGCCATTTTCACTGCAATAAAATTGATATTTTTTTTTAATATATGTTTTTTATTATTATGTAGAAGACGGGAGGAGAGACTACGATGTTTATAGCACGAAAGGTTTTAATGTTGTGTGACTAGGTGAAATTTATTTTCAACCGGGGGCAAAATCGATAAGAGTGCCACACAACATTCGTGGATCGATTTGTTTCGCGTTCACGGACTCCATGGTCACCGTCTTTTTAAATATATTACTTTATTTTATTTTATTTAACGCCGATGCAATATAAATATAAGAATATTAAATTTATTAAATAAATTTAATCAAGTGATATAACACGATGGTAAATGGAGCAGATAAATGACCTTGTATCTTGTGAGCTATTAACATTTTTCAAGATATAAGCTCATCTTGATGTTACACTCATCAAGACCTTTCATTTGAGTACCCACATCAATTTTTCATATATTATATATATATGAAAAATATATAAAAGTGGATGTGGGTACTCAAATGAAAGCTCTCGTTGAGTGTAACGTTAAGATAATGAGCTTATATCTTTAAAAACGTTAATATTTAAGAAAGTACAGTGCTATTTAACAAAAATTATTTAATGAAGCAAAATTGCTTCTTGGTGTTATTGATGAAAGTGCTGTATGAACCTCAGTAGAAATCAATTTCACCTTGAAGGGAATTTACCAGGGAATATAAATATAATACATTGTAGAGCCTTCTACATTTATATTTAGATAAAAATATCCATTGACGTTTCCTGTATTGGATTAAATATTTATAATATTATCAATTATTCAAACAAATCGATTATCTCTGTGCTCTACATAATAATTAAAATATTTAAATCTTGTTACCACTTTATTTTCATTAGAAATTTATTCAAGTATTTTTAGATTTCTTTTACTTATGATGTTTTTTGTTCAAATAATTTGTTAAATTCATTTTTATTTAACGTGAATTCTTCTAGATAATCTATTTCTAATGGATGAAGATGCTTCGCTCTTAAAGTACAGGCAAATATTTGCTGGTCATCGGATCCAACTCTTGCTAAGCCAACAGCTAAACTGTCTTTTTTCAAAATTAAAAATTATTATTTTTCTCAGGTACTCCATTATCTGGTAGTTACTCCGGGGGTTCTGGTCGCTAAATGCTGTCTGGTGAACTTGAGAGAACCCCCATGTCTTGCAGCGTCGGCTTGTCTATAGTGAAGTCAGTCAAAACTTTTACCTGGCGCATGTTGCCATCCTGGGACGTGGTGCCGAGGCTGATTACTCCGACCTGGATGCTGGCGCACAAATGAAAAAAATTTTTTTTCATTTTTTCTCTAAAGAAAGCGACCACTGCGCTCATTAATACATAGCCTTAGTTGTCAAAGATTATTAATTAACAGCGTGGAACCTGTTTGATAAATTTAATTAGTTTACTTATGGAAAATATCAATCAGATTGAAAACTTAATGAAGGGAATAATTGAAGTACATATAAACTATACGTGTTTATAAATTCATAAAATTTGTAAATAATTAAAGTGAATAATAATAATTTTTAATTTAAGTATTATATTTTTATATTATTAGTATGGGTTTATAGTGCACAGGCGATTCAAGCCCTTTTACACCCCAAGCCTTTTTATTTTGCTTGGTTACTGTCTTTTTTGTTGCGGCCGTGGACCAACTTGTGCTTTCTGTACTGCATTCACCCTATTCCTCACCTCTTTCTAGGCTCTTGGAATAGTGACATGGGAAAACCACAGAGAAAACCCATGCCAGTACAGTCGGAGCAGAGCTAAGCTCACGGTAATCGATAAGATAAAAAACTCTTCACTCTCCTAGCGCACAGAGATCTACGCGCCAGCCAGCGCTGACTAGGCGGTCACCCATTTAAGAGTACTAACCACAGTACACGTTGCTTAACATGGGTGATCGCCAGTCAGACGCGTGCCGCGTGGCTATCTCTGACGCTTCAAGTATTTTTTATAGATTTTTTGATTTATTTTAATTATGATGTTTGTTGTTCAATCAATTTTCTAAATTCATTCTTATTTAACGCGAATAATTCTAGACAATCAATTTCCAATGGATGGGGTTGCTTCGCAAGGATGACCAGAGAATGAAGAGGCGGTCCAAGATCCACAGAAGACATTTCTTTCAAAGTACAGACAATTATTTGTTGGTCATCAGATCCAACTCGTGCTAAACCAACTGCTAAACTGTCTTCTGTCAAAACTAAAAATAAGAAAAAACATTTAACACTTGAAAAAATAAATAAAAATAAAAATAAAAATTATTTAAAATTTTATAACATAAATTACCAAGCTCTTGATTAGAATTTTGACGCTTTCCTATGATAGAAATCAGCTGCTTGGCGGCTTCGGCTACGCTCATGAACCTTGAAGGCATATATTCCCGTTTCTTCTTCGTCAAACTCTCCAAAGTAGGCTCTTTTACTTTAATGTCAAGAAGACAAAGAGTATGAAGGTTCCTTTGTAAATTGTCGACTAGTTTGTCGTAGAAACTGTCGGGCTGCCAAGAGTCTGTCCAGTAGGGAATAGACACTATCGGGCCCCAGGAGTACGATTGAAGTCCACAGCATAAAACTGCAGTTATAATAGACGTATTATGAATCAGTTTCACCTGGACATTTTTCTTTCGAGCTCGCAAAAACAAATCTATGTGTGTAGTAGCTCCCAAAGCGTCTCCGATAACTAAAAAAGCAACATCTTTTGTTGCTGCGTTTGATATTATTTCTGACATAGTGTCGTCGCCTTCAACAAGCTCGCGGTCTGCTATTTTTATGGACCGGCCGAAATGTTTTTCCTGAAAATAAATATTTTTTTAATAAAATATCAAAATTAGTCTATCAATATTTAACAACTTTAAGAAGTTTTGTAATAAATAAATTATGAAGAAAAAAAAAAATGGGCATTGAAAAATTGAAAAAATCTAAAAATAATTTTTTAGAAAAAATTTTTTTGTTAAATAAAATTAAAAAATATTCAAGTGACTACTAACTTTAATGTTACAAAAAAAAAAATTATATCAATGGTGGAGGATTTTTTTACATACCAGAGCAGCTTGGCCTACGCATGAAACAGAAGTATAAGCCTCCAGATAAATATCGTCGCATTTTCTTATTGCATGATCAGCTCTCGGAGTGATATCAATTAAATCTCCAAGTCCTAAACCGATGAGGTACAACATTTTTTGGACTATTTTTTTATAACAACTGCAAACACGTGTGAGACACTCGAGTAACTTGAAGAACAAATGTTCTCTAACCTAACACTTATAGGTTATAACCTTTTTCACACTATATAGTTACTTGCGGCATACTTCATTATTGACCAGTCAGGTAATATAGTAAATATAGTATAAGTGTGAATTCAGCCGACATCATCCGACAGTTGAAAGTTTTAAAAATTGATAACTTTGTGAAAATATCGATTCCAATCGTTTTGAAAAGTGATAATGGCGCATATTCGAATTCTCTTCAAGAGTATTTTTTTTTAATTTTTATTCAATTGATTTCTTAGTTTGAAGCGTTTAAGTACAAAATGAGCGGGAAGTTGCAGGGATGGCCTTTAGGGTAAACTGTTTTTCTAATTTTTTTTTTTTTTATTTTTAGTTTTGACAGAAGATTGCTTAGCTGTTGGTTTAGCACGAGTTGGTATCCGCTGACCGGAAAATAATTGCCTGTTCTTTAAAGGAAATGGCTTCTGTAGATCTTGGACCGCCTCTTCATTTTCTGGTCATCCCGGGAAAACATCTTCAACAAAATGAGATTAAGCGTCTAAAAAAATTCGCGTCAGATGAAAATGAATTTATGAAATTAATTGAACAGCAAACAAACAAATAAATAAAATAAATCCAAAAATTTTAAAATACTTGAATAAATTTTTAATCAAAATTAAACAATAATAAGAGTTAATTATTTGTAAAATACTGCTAATTGATTTGTTTGAATAATAGATAATAGTATTAATATTTAATCCAATACAGGTAATGTCAATAATTATTTTTAGCTAAATATAAATATAGAAAGTTCTACAAAATGTATTATTACATTAAAAAATACGCTGACCACGGTGATCTTGCTGCTTGAAAATTTTAGAAATAAGTGAAAAGATTTCTTTACAAAAAAAATTAAAATTTAAATTAATATAGAATAAATTATTTATGACGGGGTAAATACTTGATTAATCCTTTGATCATTTTATGATACGGACAACTTTCAAAAAGTATTTTTAAAAAAGTTAGCTGTAATTCTTTTAAATTTCTAGATGAGAATTTATTTTACACAACTCAATTGTTATAAAAATTAAAAAAATTGACAGATGCCTGTTAATTTCAATATATTAATTTTTGTCATTTATTAAGCAAAAAATGAGCTTATAAGGTTTATAATATAAATAATAATAAAAACAAAACGATTTAAATTTTAATAGAATATCATGAATATTCATATAATTGCATTAAAATACATAAATTGTTACAAAAAAAGTATATTACAATATTTTTTACATAATTGACAAATAGTCTTCGTTAAGTAATTACAAAATTACCTTGGCATTTTTTTTATATTTTTCATTTTTTATACAAATTATCACGTGAAGTAAAATTCATATATTGAGGAAAATATTAAAAAATAAATAATAAATAATTTGTTTTTCGTCCACGAATTATACATATTAATTATATTAATAGTGATAATAATAATAATTATAATCGTAATAATATTATTAATAATAATATAATAAAATATATATTATTGATCAATTCCACACATACAAACTTTCCTATACGAGTATAAAATAGTAACTCATATATTTTGTTGATTAAAAAATAATTGACAATTTGGATGCCTCGCACCCAGCAGGACAGCAGGACAGTCGCCAAGTGCGAGACTAGTATAGCCGCTTCCACACAATTATATTGGTAACAACGAATTACACAACTCTCATTATTAAAATCTCTCGTCCATTCACGATTTCATCCATTCATTTATAATATAATAGTCGCTTTATGTACAAATTTAAAAATAGTTATAAAATCTATGCACAATTATTGAATACATATTATTATTTTTAACTATAATAATAACTATCATAGTATAAATAATTATAATAATAAAATTAATAAAATAGCTTATCAATATGAATCAATTTAAAAGTACAAGCTATATAATACACATTTATCTATTATTTAATAATAAATTCTAGTCAGCCTTGTTTGTATTATCGCCGCCGCTACAACATAATATTAGAGCAATAATTTATCCCACGTTTATTATTTTATTAACATATCGCATTATAACTTGAGCTCAAGTAAAAAATTATTGCTCCTTTATCAGCTACTATTTTATTATTAAAAATATTTATCGTTCCTTCTTATAGTATTTATATATTACTATTATATTAATAATTGCTTGTTACAAGCAAAATTGGTAGTTTTAATTGTTACAATTATTACCAGTAAATACTTTTTCGCTGACATTAGTATTTGTACTATTACTACTACTATTACTACTACTACTACTACTACTATTACTACTATTGTTGCAACAGGACTTTTTTTGTGAACTTCCCGATGAGGATGAAGATGAATGACGATATTTGTCACTGCGATCCATCATTCCACCTAAATAATTAAAAATTTCAATTTAATTAAATGCTCCCTTACATTATCTATATTATTAAGAGAATAAGAAAAATTTTGTTTCCAAGATAGTCATATGATAAAATCGGTTTTTTTTTTTTCAGTGAAATTTAGTATTATTCCAAAGGTCTTTACTCGATTTTGTGCCTTTTTAAGGTTTCATATAATTCTCATTAATAGTCAATTTATTATGATATTTAGGCTGCATTGAAAAATGCTCTATCTTTAGATACATAATTAAGAAATGACCTTGTATCTTGTGAACTGTTGAGACATTTTTAAAGATATAAGCTCATCCCGATGTTACACTCATCAACAAGACCTTTCATTTGAGTATCCACATTAAATGCTCCCTTACATTATCTATATTATTAAGAGAATAAGAAAATTTTTGTTTCCAAGATAGTCATATGATAAAATCGGTTTTTTTTTTTTCAGTGAAATTTAGTATTATTCCAAAGGTCTTTACCCGATTTTGTGCCTTTTAAGGTTTCATATAATTCTCATTAATAGTCAATTTATTATGATATTTAGGCTGCATTGAAAAATGCTCTATCTTTAGATACATAATTAAGAAATGACCTTGTATCTTGTGAACTGTTGAGACATTTTTAAAGATATAAGCTCATCCCGATGTTACACTCATCAACAAGACCTTTCATTTGAGTATCCACATCAATTTTTCATATATTTATATATATATATATATCATATATATGTATATATGAAAAATATATGAAAATGCATGTGGGTACTCAAATGAAAGCTCTCGATGTGTGTAACATTAGGATGAGCTTATATCTTTAAAAATGTCAATAGATAAAAAAGTACAGTGCAATTTCACAAAAGTCATTATTTAATAATGCAAAATTTTATTTATTTATAGTTCACAAGTCACGGCAGTCACATAGTTTGCAGTGACTGCAAGATTGCTAGTTAATAATTATTTTCAAAACTTACCGCTTATTGGAGTGTGAACTTGCACTTTAATATTAGCTGTAGCGGTGACTTTTGTCGTTGTTATAATGTGAGGAGTTGATGTAAGTACAGATGATGTTCCATTATTATCTGAAGCTCCGCCATTGCCATTGCAATTCTAAATTAAAAAAAATTTTATTAAACATTTTTAATTTTAATTTTCAATTTTTTAAAAAAATTACAATTAATTAATTATAATCTTCAATTGCCAACTAAAAAAAATATTTACCTGATTGCCACAAGTCGACGTTGTCTCAACTTTAACTTCCGGCTGAACAATAATACAAGATTCTTGAGTACTGTGCCAAGAATTAGGCTCCTCAGTAATAGTAGTCAACGAAGGCTCAGAGTGCATTTGATGTAACTGCCTGGAATTATTATTATCAATTTTATGAGGCCGCCTGGGAGGTCCTTCAGAATGATGCGAGCTTCTGTGGTGTCTTTTGCGCCGCGTAATTTCCGGCGAAGCCGGAGGCGTAGGCGTCGCAATTCTATCCGGATGAGCTGGTGGTGGAGTAATTTCCGAGTTTGGCCCCACTAGCGACAGCAGAATTGGAAAGAAAAACAACCCATTGAGCAGCCCGATTCCAATAAGACTAGACAGCACAGGGAAGAAATACCGTACAATAAACTCAAAGTCCGAAAACGCCAGCATGATGATCGGCAAAAAGGTGACAATTGCCCCATGAATTACCGGAGCGAACATGTGTTCCAAAGCCAGGCGTATTCTCCGGTCTCGGTTGTTCCCAACACAGGTCACGAAGCTCAAGCAAATATCAGCGGTAAAGTGTACAGAGATTCCAACACTTATCACCAACAACACCGCAGATATTGCGTTTAATTTCATTCCAAACAAGCTCATCAATCCAAACAGCTGGACAACTATTCCTCCAAGAGATAATCCAACCAGCATCGCTGCCCAAGCATTTAATAGCAGCACCCCAACAATTAACATATTCGCTCCAATAGCAGAGAAAAACGCTATCAACAACCAGCGCTTTAAATTCATGTACTGCTCCCAAAATATAAACGGAATTCCATACGGAAAATTAGGAAGACCCAACTCTGCAAATTTCGTGCACAAATTCCTCGCATTTCTTATCAACTCTGTAATTTCAGCAGTTGAATTTAATCTATGAAGATAAAAAGGAATTTGCGCGTAAGCAATCGCCGAACTTTTGGGAATTTTGAGCTCCTCATCATTGACAAAAATCCACTGTCTCGGTACAGGTCTTAAATTAGCCTGGGAAGCTCCGTAAGCCAAAGCGTCATTCCAAACCCAGGCGCTTAAATAATTATAAAAAGCCCGGGGATTAATTATTCCATCAGAATCAACCAGCCTTACAGAAGAAATCAATTGCTTCTCAATTGGATTATCAACGTGGCCTGTTTGCACTAGCAATTTATACGCAAGAATTCCTTCATCACTTGCATTTTTGAACCACCTTTCCTGCGTAATGCATCCGTTCTTATAATCTCTGTCAAAAGCAGCCTGCAGACCTTTAAGCCAGTCCCTAAAGAGACTCAGCCAGAACTGCGGTAGGGAACTTTCGTCCTTTTTAATGACATTCTTCACCCTTGTGAATGCATCGTGGTAGTCATAGAGCATCTGTTGGTTGTTAGGGTAGTCAAAATTACGCTCAGTTACTGCAAACATGCTGTAAAATCCGTAGTACTTTGACTGAGCTTCAAGGAATGCGTGCTCTTTTGAATGTTGAGGTACCAAGTCACCCAGTTCTAGTCCCTCTTCTATGTTCATTCCTTTTAAGACGCTGCCTATCAGGATGATTGCGAACATTATCATGCCTATGACTTTTGTCAAAGGGTTTGTTAAGAAGGGCCCGTAGTGCATGTAAGCGAATTTTCGGAGGGAAAATTTCAGCGGGAGACAATCTTTGCTTCTGTCTCCGCAGCAAGTTATTGTGTCTTCATATTGATGGTGGTGACAGTAATGCTGGTGTTGCAGATTTTTCTGCTCCTTCATGTCTACTTCGTCGTAATTATCTCCGTGTTTTTCGTAATTTTCTTTGTGATTTCTATTTATATTGTTGTCATCATTAGAGTCAGTCCATTCGTTTTGGTCAACGCGTTTGCAATCTGCGTAATGTTTTTTGTTGTTTGCCGTGACGTGATTTCTGATGTTATTAGATTTATTTTCGTAAATAATATGAGTTTTTTTATTTATCCGAGCTGCTGTTTTTGAAGAGAGGAAACAGCAGCATAAAATATCCCACCGGCCGGTTTTTCGACGACGAAGGTCCAGGCTTAGCAATGCTGGGAAGGCGATAAGCATGGAAATGAGGATAAAGATTGAAAGAACTGCTGCTTTTAAGGAAAATACTCTCAGAGCTGGGATTGGAATTATTGCTGCGATTCCTAGACCTGAAGCAGTGCACAGGCCTTTTAGTAAGATTGATAATCCAACGCGCTTTAGGATTACTGTGGTACGGTGAGACTCGCTCATTAGGACTGGAGAGTAAGCTGGTGAGGAAAGAGGTCTTGTTTCTTCGCTGGATCCTACTGTTACGGCTGAACAAGAATCACTAGCGTCGGCGTGGGTTATTAAAAATGTGTCGTGGCAACCGAGACCTACAAGGAGGTAGGGAAGGATTTGGGTGGTGATTACGTTGAAGGGGAGTCCTAAAACAGCACAGAAGCCAAGGCCGGCTGTTATTGTTGCGCATACGAGGATCACTCCGCCCAGACCGATGCCGGATTGGGAGAACATTGGGTTCTGCCAGTGGAACAGCACGATACATGAGTAAAGTATCTGTAAATTTAATAAATAATTAATAGGGATATTTTTTAGATCAAATTTTTATTGAAAAAATTGTGATATTTAAATTAATAAACATCTGTAAATATTTTGTATTTTTATCATAAGTAAGTTAATATAAAAAATTTTAATAAAAAAAATTTCATAGCTAGAAATTTACGAAAAATTACAAGTACTAATTTTAAGAAAATATTTTTTTTTTCTTATATTTGATTTTTAATAAATTTAAAAAAAATTTTCAGATTTCTGATTTTAAAATTATTAACAAAATGATACTAAAATTAATATTAATTAATTTTAGACTTTTTTAACAAGTAAATAATTATTAAAATAAAAAAATTTCACAGCTAAAAATTAAAAAAAAAAAAAAAAAAAATTTTTT